CTTAGTCTATACATATATATATTGTCAACTCCTCAAATAATCTAGATTATATTACAAAATTCGTAGCATTCTTTGACAGTTCCTATATATATAAAGTAAATTTTTGTACTGTATAATGATCTATTTCTATGTTGACTTCTACTTAATGTTTAATCCAATCATAGATTTTAAAAAACAAACAATAATGAATCATTTATAGTAAACAATAGATCTAATATAGATTGCATTTGATATCATAGTAACATTCAATAATGATTTGTTTGTGTTTTACTTTATTATTGATATAAAATGACATTTTATTCTACAATGGAAAATTGTTAAAAGATAATTCATGATTCATTTTCATCATAACTTGAAATCATTGCTAACTGATAATGAAATTGAGTTAAATGATTTATCAAGTGAATATATATGCATACAGAATGATCTGTATCAGTCAGTAAGTAAGTAAGTAACAACGTAGAACTTCGTATGTACATACGTACATAGATCAGTTCAAATTACTATACCATGTTAATACAAAGATACAATTGTTAATTCAAATTCCATAGAGTTAGAGGTAGTAAAGAGACAGAAACTTACTAGTCTATAAACTAATCTAGCATGTTAAACAAATCATTGTTTTATTTTATTTTTATTCATTCCTATAGTGTCTGAGTTTTGTAGTACTGACCCATAGAATATTGTAGTTTGAATTCTGATCATGAAACTTCAAGATTTGGTATGATTATGTTAGTTTTATAAAGTTTAATGTATATTGGATGTTGTTTGTATAGAGATACAATTTTTTCACTTGAAATATGCCATATATATGTATATTTAGATTGATAAAAACGTTTTTACATATATACATATACATATGTTTTTTGTCCAGACTTATGTTGAGTATAATGTATAGAATAAATAGAATGGTATATTATATTTTATTACTGTCCACTTGTAACTAAACATAAACTAATAAGTTTAAAGAAATTAATTCCTTTGATCAATCGTGATAGTATAATAAGAAGACGAAGATTGAAAAGAAGCAAGAACAAATATCCTAGTAGAATAATATGAATTCATTTTATTTCGTAGGTTTTCGTCAGCTGCTTACAACCTGTGATATTTAAAATCATAATTACATAATGGGTTTAAATGACTTACATGAGAGGTTTGGTTGGAAGTTACATTAAAGACATGTTGGTATAGTATAGCAAGGGTGTAAATAAATTTAATAGACTGAATATTGTAAATATATTTCTTGTGTGAAAGAACATTCTACAACATTGATTGTGACAACAATTCAAACGGCCAGAAACAAATGATTACATCGTGAGTAAACATTGATAATAATAAAATAAGTAGAGCCCAGTTGATAAAATAAGATTACTAATCTGGAAGATAATTGAAATAGAGACTCAGTGATGTAGTAAATGCAAGAAAGAGTCGCCAAGGCGAGGAAAAATTAATAACCGTCTCTCTTTGAACACATTTGTCAGGTTTTTGATGCCAAATGGCAATGACTTCAACGAACTTCATAAAACTGGAGTTTGACTGCTTTTTCAGGTGCATGTTAATCTATGAATACAGTTGGTCAAATCATCTACATTGGCTGAATTGAAAGAAGGGTATATTTTAGGTTTGTTGAACATGTTCCAAAAACCTGCAGAACAAGAGAAAGAAAGACGTTTACTCATTATGTAATCATTTGTTTCTGGCCGTTTGAGCTGTTGTCACAATCAATGTTGTAGAATGTTCTTTCACACAAGAAATATATTTACAATATTCAGTCTATTAAATTTATTTACACCCTTGCTATACTATACCAACATGTCTTTAATGTAACTTCCAACCAAACCTCTCATGTAAGTCATTTAAACCCATTATGTAATTATGATTTTAAATATCACAGGTTGTAAGCAGCTGACGAGAACCTGCAAAATAAAATTCCACTAGAATTTTTGTTGCTGCTCTTTTCAAATTGTTAAAGGGAACTATGTGCATGAAAACACGAAGATTATCAGAACTATGTAATGATATATTAGCGTAATACATTTCGAACAATCTGATTATACATAGTCTATTCAAATAATAAATGTATTGAGTAATTTACATGTAATAACCGGTTAAGTAGAAAATTGTATTTTAAGTGTAAGTATAAGTCGTTTCTTCAATAATTACCGTTGAAGTAAAGACGAATAAACATATATTGGTCTCACATCTTTGACCTAAATGAAATGATGATTTTTTTATGATCAAGTTTTTTAGATTGAATAAAGCACTCTGATTTCTTTTCCCGTTTTATTTAGGTAGGTGGCAATTTATTAAATTTATTTATTCCGTAAAGAGGTGATTTGCAATTTTCTATTCTTTTGGATAACATTCTTATTCTGGTAGCAACTGATTTCCTGTAAACTTGAGATGTAATATGTCAAACAATGAAGTTGGTTAGTGCGGGATAGAATCCATCGGGTAGCATCAGTTCCTTCAAGATCACAGATAAACTTTGTTGACTTGTGACAAAAAAACGAATCAAGGTTCATGGTCGTTTATACTAATTAATTCGACAGATTTTGATTTGCATTAAGATATGCATAACAGTGGTCACTATTCTGTAGTTAATTAATTGTATAAATGTACATACATATATTACTATCAGTAAATTTTTTTGTAGTATTAGAAATTTTTTGTAACAAAGTTATTATTATAAGCAAAAATGGATAGTGTCTAGCAGTGGAATCCATGACGCGAGTTTCGTCCTATTTGGGACTCATCAGCTGGATGTACTTGCATCTTAGAGTTGATTTTCACTCTGGATTCCACTGCTAGCCACTATCAATCTTTGCTTATAATCCTTGTAAATTAAGGCAATATCTAGACGATAAGCACAGAGTGATCAATCGCAGTCCTAAATATCAATCGGAAGATTCAAGTAAACAATACCAAGTGAAGTAAAGTTATTATTAAATTTGATACTTAAACAGTATTGAAGAACTTAATGTTATTACGTGATACAGGGAATATTTATTTAAATTTATATAAAGAGTCAAAATAAAGAACAATATTTAGTTACATAAGATGAACTACAATCATAACCGAATCGTAACAAAAACAAAATAACGTAATTCATACCGTTTATAATTGTTAATCAGGGAGACAATAATTAAGCATCAACTGATTTTGGATAGAAATATTCTATTTATTGTAATTTTAAAAAACCCTAATTATCTCGAACTAAGATATTTATCTTGAACCGATAGCTTTTTCCCACTTCATTTTTCTGTATTAAGCAAGTGGAATGTTACTAAACTACAAAGGCTGCTTTATCGTTTTATGATTCTATTAGGTTTCAACAATATCTAAATGTTAATTTTTTATATTCAGGTTGATTTACTACCTATGATGTATGCAATTTGTTTTTATGTTGGGATTTAACATTTTTTCTGTACTTTCAACTTTCAGAAAGATTTCTGGAAAAAACACTTAGAAAATTAATCGAAATCTACGCTCATTTACTCAGTATCCTGTATTCGGTCATAGATTTCATGGATAGAATTCTAATGATTCTGTCCAGTTCAAAAATAGAGAAAACAAATTCAAGTATCTGACAAAATGTAATAACCGATCATCATAATCAATTTTAATGTACTCCCAATCACTTAAATTGGTATTTTAATGTATTTAAAAATTGAATTTGAGACATAAATATACACTCTTAATCTAAACACTTCATAAATACATGGCCAGAAATACGAAAGCCATTCAAATAGGAGAAGAATGAATTTCAGCTGAATTTGATATATATAGTTTTTTCAACATAAGAAGGGTGTATATCCCTACCACAACACAGTCGATGTAAATGTTTCACATTGATGAGTCTGACAGTTAAGATAGTTATAAAGTACGTTTTATTATTCAAAATATTTTATAATTTCAGATGGATAAAGTATTGACAGATTAGAAATGTATCTTTATAAAATTATTACATTTAAACAGAAAGAAATACTTCCTTTAACACGTTTTTCTTTTATAATTTTAATAACAAAAGTGAACTCTATTAATTTGTTGCATTGAAGTTTTAAATATTATTTCAAATTTTTGAATTTAGGTCATGAACCGATTGATATTAAACTATCATTGAAAAACTTACTACACTTGATCTTTGTTTCGTCCTAATGTAGAACTCCTCAACAGTGCACATACATGATCTCATTCGTGGCCGTTTACTGCTTACAGTTAGTCAATGATAACCTAACCTCGATCGGTTTATGATCTCAATGAAGAAGAAAAAACAACTTAATAATCTCCACAACCTAATCTACTTGTATTTAATTGGTTAAAAAAATTTTTTTCTCCTATATATATCCTTATTACACCCACATACTGATTCATTTGCCATATTAACCAATCAGAATATTTTCCCAATATAATATAATATCTCATAGATATTTCCACTTTCTTAAAATCCAAGATAATAACATAGAGAATTAAAGAAAAGAAAAAAAAAGAAAAGAAAAAGGAAGAAAAGCTAAAAATTGATCAGTAATACAACACATTCCTTACATGTATTAAACTTTATTAATGGAATCTATTTAATTAATTATTATCAATTGTTCCCTTGATCATGATTGATATCCAAAAACATAAATAATCTATACATTATTCAATAATTTAATTATTTCTATATTGATCAATTTTAAATGGTATGCTTAGAATTTATTTCTTACAATGGAATTGGTATTTAACACATCAACACTATCAATTATTTATAATTATATTTATTTATATTCATTTAATTCAACCAAAAACAATTCGTTTACGTATTAATGAAGAAATACAATTAAATACACATATAGGTAGTTTATTAAAATATGTAAAAGGTGGATTAAATAATTTATATTTTATAAAAATTAATAATACAGATGATGCATCAAAATTATTTCATGTTGATCCTATAACTGGAGATATTATTGTAAAGCATAGATTAGATAGAGAAATATTATGTCATAATAATCATAATAATAATAATTATTATTATTATTATAATCAATTAAATAAATTACAAAAAAATAATAAAATTATTAAAGAATGGTTACCAAATTTAACTTATTCTACATTATGTGAATTATATTTTAGTGTAAATTGTTTAAATACAACATTCTATTCAAATTATTCAAATCGATATAGAAATAAACTACCTATAAGTAATAAATTAGTAACTATATTTGATGTAATTATTGAATTGAAAGATATTAATGATAATGGTTGTCAATTTATTCCATCTAATCAACAAATTATTAATATACGTGAAGATTCATTTATTAATGATACACGTTTTACATTAAATATACCATATGATCCAGATGATATAATGAGTGGAAATTCTGTTAAATCAGATCGTATTTGGATAAATACTAATTCTAATTTAATTCATAATTTAAATATATTAAATTATTTTAAATTACATAGTTTATCATTAATGAAAAATATGACAATACCAAATATTTATTTAGAATTAGAATTAATTCAAAAATTAGATTATGAAAAACAAAAAAATTATTCATTTCAAATTATAGCTGATGATGGTTTTTCATCTGATAATCATCAATGTTATCTTAATGTAACAATACTTGTAGAAGATTGTAATGATCATATACCAATATTTGAACAATCTATGTATATTGTAAATGTAAGTGAAGATACACCAATAGGTTATTTAATAACTCAAATTAAAGCTAATGATGTAGATACTGATGAAAATGGTAAAATAATTTATAGTTTTGTATCATATTCAGATGATAATGATGATGGTAATTATTTCTATATTCATTCTGAAACCGGTGAAATAAAATTACAACGACGATTAAATTATCGTTTAAAATCAAGTCATTCATTAAAAGTATTTGCTAAAAATCCGGACAATACTACATCAGGACAAATAAAATCATTTCATACCTCGAAATTATCAACTACTCAGGTTATAGTAAATGTTATTGATGTAAATGATCACTTTCCTCGTATTCGTATTATATCACCTACTGGTTCTAAAAGTTTAGAATTAATTGAAGAAACACCACCTGGACAAGATATTGGGATTATAGATGTTTTCGATGGAGATACTGGAAAAAATGCACAAGTGAATTGTAAATTAACTAATCAAACTATTCCGAATGTTTTACGCTTAATTTCAGTTGACAATGAAATAATAGGTAAAGAAATGTCAAATTCTAATCAAAAGTATAAATTAACACTACAAAAACTTATTGATAGAGAAGAATTCCCAATCATTGAGTTTAATGTAGTTTGTTGGGACGGTGGAACACCATCTTTATCAAGTAATCTGACATACAAAATCAAAGTATTCGATATAAATGATCATGATCCAATCTGTGATCAAGAGAATTACACAGTTGACGTTATAGAAGATTCAAGTCCGGAAAGAATAAAAAATAACTTTGAATTTCTCACCATACATGCAACTGATCAAGATGAGGGTCGTAATGCAAAACTCCAATTTAGTTTAGACCAAGAAACACCAACTTATATAATGAATCTAATCACGGTCAATGCAACTACTGGGACACTTAGGACTATGGGAAATTTAGATCGCGAAAAATTGACTACATTTGATGTGACAATAATTTGTTCAGACTATGGTGAACCAAAACGAATGACTAAAGTGAAGATAAATGTTAATGTATTAGATTATAATGACAACTCACCTACATATTCTCAACCATATTATGAATTTACTATAACAGAAAATAATCATATAGGTCAGTTGGTCGGTAATTTTCAAATTACTGATGATGATATTGATAAAAATGCAGAATTAGTTGTTCAGATTGAAGAGAACACTGAACAGACACATGTTTATCTTGCATATTTTGGTAACAGTTTAGGAATACATAATAACATTGAACAATTGAAATTACATTCAAAAGATCTACTCATTTCTTCCGGTTTACAAGAAACAAGACATATTGAATATATTCCACATTTTAAATTACATTCACAAAAGTTATCTAGAAAAAATATTTCCTCTTCTAATAGTAAATCAACACTTTATGATGTTAAATTGTACATAGACTCTGTTATTGATCGTGAAGGATTAATTATGAAATATAAAGATATAGTCTCTGATACATTACCACATTATGGAGTACTTGAACATATCAATAATTTTTATTATGATAATAAAATATCTGAACTTTCAAGTAAAACAAATTATTCCATAATAACACCAATTATATTGTTATTAATAAATACACATGATAAAGGTATTCCAAAATTAACTGAACATGTATCAATACGTATTCATATATTAGATGAAAATGATAATTCACCTCGTTTTATTTATCCTGATCCAACAGATGTAAATAGAACAAAAATTTTTGTATCATATAAAGAACCATCAGGATATGCATTTACACAAGTAAGAAATTGAAATTTATCATTTTATTAGATTCTATGATTTCAATTTGTGGATAGAAATCCTAGGAATGAAAAAAGGAAGTATTTATTCCTTTTTGGTTTTTGTATTGATATGTATAAATGAGTATTGGTGTACAAATTAATTAGCATCTAGATAATATGTATTAATAGTGTATAACTTATAGATTACACTTAAATATTGAACGACTTGACCTAGATCAAAGGAAATGAGAATACTAGAAATACTGTAATCTAGTTAGAACTATAATACTGTACCTTAAAGTCTTTCTGATTAGCTGAGAGAATTTTGAGTCAATAACGTTTATTTCCGCTTAAGCTATCGTGTACGAGTAGTTTGAAAGTGTCTCATACTAGAATCTAATGTATTCAAGTCTTTAATATTGGTGTAACAAGATCAATTCGTGATTTAAACATTATAAATTCCAAAGTGATCTTATAAAATGTTGTCTTATTAGCTTGTGTTCAATTTTAGTCCTAAATATCAATGGGAAGTTCAATTGGTATTGTTATGCTTGTATCTTCCCATTGAGGTTTGAGACTATAATTGATTTGTCTGTTATTGGTATATGTGCATACTGTGCGTATGTCTCGGTATTGCCTGAATTCACAAGCTTTTATAAGCAAAGATAAACAGTGGGAAGATTCAAACAGACCATACATAAACGAATCAAACTACACCTCATTGTACAAGCCAGGGTCTATCTAAACTCCATAGTTATATGTATAACTTGATGACATTTCAATTGAACGGTACTGGATTTGAGTTCCATAGTGAATATCAACTTTATAATGCTGATACATCCAGCTGATGATTCTCAAAATAGAACGTACTAGATTCCACTACTAGCCACCATCGATCTTGATTTATAAATTAACCTTATTTTACTAAAGAGCTTTACGTATTTAAATGATCAATTATATTATACAAGTTTTATAAAATAACTATTGAGGAAACAGTAAAAGTACAATATTTACATAAACGTTTTCCACTTATCAGAATGTATTTTTTACTTTCTTAGTCAAGTAATGTAGTGATAATTACTTACATAATTCATGTTAATATTCAGAAAGGTTATAGAAGTTGTAACTGATTTTGTAATGTTTCTTTGATGACTTATCAATTACTGATATGATTGTCTGCTGACTATTGTAAGGATCACGATCATGTATTGCTCAATAGTCTATTAATAGAATGAAAAAGCTGTCTAATAATTCCTGCTTTATAAAAGACATGTTACTTTAAATTTTCACTCTTAATTCCATTTCAAATGAATATTAATTTAATTAGATTTCTACTAATAGAATACACAAAGGCATTAAATGTATCATTATTTCCTATAATTGAAGAAAACTTACAATACATTAGCTGATAATCTATGAAAAGGTGATGCATATTTGAATCTTTATTGTGAACTAATTCTGAAGAGTAAATACAGTGTAAGGATTTACCTCTATAATTACTGTTTGAAATGTTCTATTTGATGTATAATTCATAAGATATGGATTATTCTCATTATTGATGTTTTTGACTGCAAATCAATAGCCTGCTATGGAATATGTTCACCTTAATGTAGTCATGAAGTTATAAGTCCTTAAGATCAATAACGGGAAGATTTAAGCTCAAACAATTCAATTAACTTCAGTATTAATTCACGAGTCAGTGGTTAAGTAGATAATACGTTGTTCATTTTAAGGGATAGAAGTTTGATTTGAATCTTCTAGTGAATATCTACACTGGTATCCAGGCACATCAAGCTGAATTGTCTAGAACAGGACGTAACTTACATTTTGTATTCCATTACTAGTGATTATCTAAATATGCGTGAAAATTCTGAAGATAACACACACGATGATATAAAGAGTATATACTAATATATTTATTCCCAAGACTGAATTTTTAAGTGTAGGGATTTATTACAATAAACTTTCCCTACACTATAATCAATAGGAGTGATAATTTTTCTAGCGGTATTTAAACTGTATTCTTTTATCTACACATTAAGTAGAAAATTCAAGTATTCATCGCTTCAATTAATTTGTCAACTGTTAATTAACAGTGTTGTAAAATGTATAATGACATTGAACTACGATAATATTATTTAGCGATGTGTCACTTAGGTTATCAATTTTCTCAATAACTATAAGACAATGCAAGTATTAAATCATCTCCGAATGCGTTTAGTTTTCTGGTAGGCAACATAAATCGATTGATATAACTACGTTTTATTTAAAGTTGAATAATTCATGAATCCAACTTGATTTAATTCGTGTTAGTTTGTTATAAGATGTAGCATGGCATCAATAAGGATTTTGAGATTCACGTAATTTACTGAAGAGATATATTCGGAACAGAAAGTGGAAAATATTTGAAAGTAGAATGAAGGGTTTTTAGATATACAAAGAAACATCTAAAAATGGTATCATAACCAAATAGTTTAATTTTATCCATATAAACATGATTCCTGATAGTAACTATATTAGAAAAAGTGACCAAGCATTCTCCTCATAAATGAATCAATTTGAGAACTCTTAGGATTCGCTTCTAACTATCGGTTTATTGGCGTGATTTATTTGTGACTAAATATATTAATATTTTCAGTTAATATCAGAAGACTGTTTTTCATACAACAGAATAAAAGTGTTATATACTTTTATACTTTTGAACTATCGCAAAACAAAATATGAGAACAGCTATTTAGTCGAACACACAATAAATCCCATAAAAGACGCATATTTATTTCGATTGTCACATTCTATCTTAGTATAGAAGAAAGATATTAGCAAACTAAGAAGCGAACAAAATAGAAGATCCCTAACAATAGCTATAGAGGTTCGAGAAGAACGGGTGAAATATATTAAGGATCTGAATGACGAATGAATCAGGAATATCATAGAAATGGAATAGAGAATAATAATTATGGAAATGGATTGGGTAAAAGGGCAATATAAATTTGGAAATGAAATATATTAAAGAAGGGTGAAAAAAAGAGTGATTTGTGCAACTAAATAAATAACTGAAAGCAAGTGAGTGGATTAAATCTACGCTAAGATTAAACAAATTTCTTCTATGTAGAGTTTCGTTGTGTATGACAAAGGTAAGGTTAAAGAGACACAAGCATAGTGCATTTCGTAAATTATAAACTAATTGAATGGTTGATGCTGACAAACTATTCTATAATAGCACCCCCCTTCAATCAACTTACTTCTTTTTTGTTGATAATGAAAAGTGTTTCGAGACTATTTAGGAAACGATTCT